ATGTTTGTATGCCGCTAATTGTTTTGTCTCTCACAACGTGAACGATTTCTAGCGCACCCTTGCTGGGCAAAGTCCTTCCTCTTCCATATCTTCATTACAAAGTACTACCAAAGAAAAGGATCCAGTTGCCCGCCGTAAAGACTTCATCAGAAGGAGAAAACAGCAAACGGATCAAGAAGACGCGAGCAAAGTCATCCAGGTTGGAATCTCTTCCAAATTCCTCTCAGTCTTCTTATTCAGTGGTCATGTGGTAAGAAATATACTGTCTGATATGATCGATAACCTATACGCAGGTATCTTAATTGGTACATAGCATCACTGTTCCATATTTACTACTTCGAAATTGAATAAGAGCGCGTCTTCCCTGGCGGGTACGCCATGCCTTTTAGGTCCGATAATGGACCATTGCCCCGTCGCCACTTTCCCATTCCTACCTTTTTGAACAAGTTAGCTTACCAGGTTTAGTGTTTCATAGCTGTTTTGTGTATACTCCCGGTACTGAAGTATTCCAGCAGTGTACTTGAAAAAAGTTACTAACCTTTTCAAGTATTTTATTTAGGGTATGTCAAAGATAGCCGGTGCCAGTGCTGCGTTGAAGGCGGAACGCGAAGAAGAAGAGCAGAAGCTAGCTGCACGATCTGCTGTCAACTGGAAGGTACTCTATTTTTATTCATCCGGACCTGGTTCGAAAGAATCTTCTCTACTTAAATCGTTCCAGGCAAATTTGGATAAACAAAGGAAGCAGCTGGATTACAGCGACATTTTCGATGAAGACGTAGGTAGAGATGAAGTAAGTCCTAGTTTCAATGCTACGACTTATTTATTTCCCACAGCTGCTACTTTCTGATCACTTATGTTTTGTAGGGTTTGTGGGTATGGGAGATTGAGAATTTCTATCCCTCTCTCATTGATGAAGCATTTTACGGACAATTTTACGACGCGGACGCCTACTTGGTATTAAAAACTACAAAGGTACTGCCCATTCTGTTTTCTCCCTTTGTAAAATTTAGTTAATTCTCAAATTTCAAGGAGATTTCGGGAAGTATACGACACGAGATCTACTACTGGCTAGGTGAGAAGGCTACACTTGATAAAGGAATGTGTGCAGCTGTGCACGCCGTTGGCCTGCGTAACCATCTCAATGCTACGTGTCGGTTGGTTCCTTACCATTCGTTTTCTGAACCAGTGCTCTTTTCGAGGGCAGTGCATCGGTTTACAGTTTTGCTGTTATACCCGTTTCTTAAGGACCATTCGGGAAGAAATGAACGATGAATCTGAGGAGTTTCTGGATCTTTTTGGTGGAGAAGAAATTGTGTATATTGAGGGTGCTCGTACTAGCACTGGCTTTTTTACTGTCGAAAAGCCACCTCATATCACAAGGTATGTCTGTAAATTTTGTGTTATGTGCTGTGATTATTTGTTTTTATTTTAATCGTCTGCTTTGATCGGGATTGTTTTTCGAGTAAATTTCGGTGTTGGTCCAGGTTGTATCGAGCTTCAGTCAACGGCACAGCTGTGGAGATGGAGCCAGTACCTGTTGCGATGGAATCCCTTGATCCTCGATACTGCTTTCTTCTTGACGCCGGTGACACGCTTTGGATTTGGAGCGGTTGGAAAGCCAGGGTAATTACATGTGCTTTGTCCAATATACTTTTTCTCTAGCCAATATCGTTCAGATTACGGTGGCAAACAAGGCTCGTCTTTTTGCTGAGCGACTTAATAAAAGAGACAGGAAGGGTGTCGCTGCCATTGAAACCTGTCGAGATCCTAAAGT